TACAATACTAGAAAGGCAAGTCATTGTAAACTTACTAGCAAACAAGCATCAGGGAAGTCTGAGTGGTATCCAAACCCTTCAAGATATCCATTATAACTGATGTTCAGAGTCACCTTGACCAACACAGGTCTCATTTAAGAAGGGATATGCTGGTATTCACCCAATACACGTACAAGAGTTCAGACAGCATGCAACTCAACTCACCGCAACAGATACAGAGCAGCAGCTTTGACTGAAGCAAAATGCTGCACAGCAAGGAGTGAAATGACTGGAAAAACAGATGCTTAATCACTACGTATTTTTGGCAACGTTATTCCTATGATATCTGATAGATGAGGGAAAAATAGCTGCTGAATGCTGCTTAGTCTACAGTACATGAACCACAGCCACATCTATGGACTATCAGGGTGGCACTTACTACAGCCCTACTGGAAGTTGTTTTTCTTTTGATCAATCCATAGAGGAATCTTAAGTAATGTCTCCATAGGGGTTTTGTTCTTACTACACGCAATCTGGTGAACTACATTGTCTGAGACAAAGGCATGAAGTGAACTGGTGGTTTTGGCTTGGTAGTGTTTTTAAGCAGTGTCTTCACCCCACCTCTTCGGCCTTGGGACAAGAGACTTATTAGCTAATTACTACGCAAGTGAACTGAAATGTAAATTAAACGCTACACCCTAACATAGCTTAACAGGCCCAGGAGCAAGAATTTAGTTAACTTTAATGGACTGTAATTCTATCCAAAAATATAGTTTATTAACAAGCACATACAATAAATTGCACCACTAACTTTAAATAAAACACCTACCAAGCTCACCTTCACGCTGCGTGACATTTGGTTAATACAGAGCAAAAAAGCAATACATATATGCTTTCATCAGACACAGAACGAACTCAGTTGCAATCCAAGTTCAAGTTGTAATCCAAAGAAGGGCACATAAAAGCAAAAGCAATGAAGACTTCACATGAACCTTGTCATTTCTATCCACCAGACCTTTGGTCTCTTACAAAATAGGCCCGTAATACAAAAAGTAATAAAAACTCTGGATTCAATTTACTCAGCCTCTTCCATCACAAGTTAACTATAACATTTTGCAACAACGTGAGTCGTATTAAGAGGGAGGTAAGAGGCAAAGACAGTTAACATCTCAGAATTGCACAAGTTCAGCTGCAGATAGAGAGGCTGCCTAGCAGCAGGCTTGGACTTCAGTGTCGTTGTCCCACGTTCTGCAAGAAATACAAAGATGGCAAAACTCCACCTTCTCTCTCATCAGTTGAAACTTGATTCACCCTCCGCCGACACCAAGGCAAAAGTTCTTCCGTTATCAGTGGTACTCTGATGGGGCCACAGCAGCCTTCAAAACAAAAAGTCATCCTCTCTAGTGAAAGGTTTGTGACTCTCCAGTCTTCACCTTGGCTGTGATGTCAGTAAAACCTGACACCACATGGGTGTTACAGCAGTCTCGTCCTCCCTCCGTGCCAGAAAAAGGGATTCAGCAGAATTCGATATATAAAGATTGAAGCCAACTTGGCAATAAACAGCTCCTCTCTGTTCAGTGTAAGATCTTAACCTCACGGCAACGAAGTAAATAGAAGGTTTGTAATGAACTTCCGTAAGAGCCCAAGAGAAGCATCAGGCCAAAACAGAAAAATACACACGGTCTTGATATTAGACCTTGTTCCTCGCACAGGAAAGGCCGTTTGTATTTCTGATCCTCCGGGGGAGTAACTCGAAGGTTCCCAAGAAGAGTGCTCCAAATGTAACAATGTCCACGACAACACTGCTCAAGTAGTATTTTTGAACAAAGCCAGAGATTCCTCTGTTTCCTTTGTGGCAGAACTAAAAGCTCTGTCTACAAGCAGCAGGGTCCCAATTTTATTAACATGGTGCCTGTTATCACAACATAAACAAAAATTATGCCTGTGCTCCCTAATCGCATTAGGAGTTTCTTTACTCAGAAAATTTTATAGCAGTATCAATGGGTTAAAAACTTGTTTCATCTCATTTCTCTCCTGCTTCTTTCTCTCTATAATGCCTAGAAAAAACCCCAGAAACTTCTGCTCCCACTCCAAGTAAAGAGTTAAGATCTACTTTTATGACAAAAAAAATCCTTTAAAAATGGTAATTTTCTTCAACTGCTGGAACAAGGATTTTTTGCAGTACAAGGAAAAATTTATCAAAATGCGAACTAACCTGATGAACAAGAGAAAGCAATCAAAAACTACCTATAAAGTCATTAAAGAGAAGTCCGAGTATTGTGACACACTGAAAAACAAGTGATGCACGGTTAAATCAGCACGAAGCTCCCTCTCCCCTCTGCAACTTGCACGGCTGGCCCTCATGTTAGCTGGTTATGAAATACTCTTACACTAGAACAACTTTAGAAAAATTTGGGCAAGTGAGAATGGAGTTATTTTAATCTAGAACAATATCACCCAAAGATAACGATGAATACAAACACTGTTCATATAAAAAAAAAAAATCAGAGAAACTTGTATTCAAGTTGCATTTTCAGTCTATATATTGGCTTTCCTCTTCTTTATTTTATAAAAATAGGGTACGACATTTCAGCTTCAATTGCATGTTTAAGTCATTTATTCATTGAACATTCCATTCTTGAAATATCATCTATTAAAATGCTAGTTAAGATTCATCCTTATAGACGAGACTAGAATTTCTTCTGAACTGCACTTGTAGACAATAATAAAGAGACTGATACAAACTCAATAAAAAATAATTGGATTATGGGAAGAATAAAGGAAACAAAAAATAAATAATAAAAAAAAAATCAAGCTGTAGTCTTACTGACTCCTAATAAAACAAACACCAATGCCTTTTAGCCGATCAAAAGATTTAACTCCAAAATACTATTTACAGACTGAATTCAGAAATAAAATGTCTTTTAAAGTCTGTAAGTTACTATGAAAAGAGGACAAATAAACTTCCAACAAGAAGACAGAGGAAGCCACAGTAAAAATAATACTGAAAATTCCTGATCAGAATATTGTATCAAAAATTAGTATTTGTAACACTACCATAGTTCCCTTATCATCTGTTTTAAAAAATAGATCCTGTACTACATTTGCACTTTTCTGACATAGTACAGAATATATAATTGTACATGGGCAATTTACATCTCAGCTGTGTAGTACTGAAGGAAGAAAAAAAAGCTGCAGATTCATTTTGCTGCTCCAGCGGCAAACCCCACTGGGTGGGAAGGCCTGTCGGGGTACCAACGCTGAGCCGAACCAGTGAAACGACAGAGTCAGAAATCCCATCGTACAGCGTCTGCTCGGGCATCGCTCTTTCCCCTACTGCAAAGCAGATTTAATAAATGGGATTTATTTTAGAAAGTTTCACAATTCTTAAACAGTAGATGATACTTGCATTCCTGAAGGATTAAGTTCTACATTTCTTAATGCTAATTCAACTCTCTAAAACCAACCCAATAAAACCAGCAAAGCTTTTACGAGTAACATGCACAACCTAAAAATTCCACCCTCAAAAACTGCCTTTTTGGTACTCTTTTAAGCTCTTAAGATACTCCATTTATTGAAGAGATGCCAGGAAGCCTGCAGCAGGAACAAATGCTTCTTTGGCAAAAGGAAAACATTTTAATGCCTCCTCCCTTCAAAGTATGCACACCTCACCACAACATATGCTAATATACTACCAAATAAGTCTCTTTATCTTGCCATTTTTATAACAAACTGTTTCATTCATATCTATTTCAGCTTGTAACTACCTAGTGCACAGAGTAGCACACTGCTAAATCAACAAGTAGTTTATATCTAAGAAATAGAAAGCAAAAAAAACCACCACATTATATTAAAAAAAATCCAAAACAACTCAAGAGTGGCTAATTTGGTGTGCCCTGTTTTAGGGTAAAATTAAAATTTTAAGTCAGGCAGGCATTTTGGCCCCTTTTTCCACCCTTCGTCCTTTACTTAAAATGAACAAGATCTAACAAAAAAAGGATTCCCACAAATATGATAGGGAGTGGACATCTGCACTACATCTGCCATTAATATACAACCACAAATGTTACAGCCCTTCTGTGAAGCTATCTACGGATGCATATGCACCTAGGCATGGAGACAGCCATACCTCCCCCCGGATTTCTAGCCTGCTCCGAGGCACACACTCCACTGACGCACTGTCACAAATCAGCCAGATGCTGAATGTAGAAAAAGGTGAAGACCAACTCTATGCAGATCTACAGACTGCAACTGTAAAAAATATAATAAATATAGATATTTACTATCATATTACTAGTTCTTTTCTCCAAGTGAAACTGATACTTAAAGTTGTCTTTTTCCTGAAGAACCCAAAGAAGCAAAAGAGGAAGTGTTTTTAAAAATAAAAGACTAAAGCGATGAAAATAAAGAAAACACACCCTCAAACACGCTAGAGCAAGACCCCTCAGCGCAGGCATCAGTACCGGCCTTCCTTACTGGCAGAGGATCTTTAGTTTCCAGACATATGCTTGTTACTCCAATTAAATCAGTGTGGCTTCTAAAGAAAGATCCACTTTTAATATATGGATTTAAATGCCACAGTTAACTCTCAGAGACTTGGTATGCAACTGGGATAACTCTGCTGGCGAAAATATTACGAGGAGAGGGAGAAAATAAAGCTAAAACCTGTGGGAAAGTCACGGGGATCCAGAGGCTTCCGTAGGCTTAGATCTATACACCTGAATCCAGCTGTAGGGGTGAAGAGGAGGGGGCGCGGGGAGTAAGGGAAAACTCGTTTGTCATATCTCAACCTTCCCCC